CTGCTGGTCCACTCCCCTGGAAGAAACCAGCCATCGTCCGGCCATGGAAAAGAAATCAACCCCTAGACTTTCGGATGAAAAATAACCACTAGACTTTCCCCGAGAACCCCATCTGCTGGTCAAAAACAACACCCCAAAAGCGTCCTCCTCCATGGTCTCTCGTTCCCCCGCGGGCCCCTTTTGATGAACCAAAAATCCCCTCGTCTGCTCTTCCGGCTCTGAGCCGCGGGCTCCGCATGCCCAGCCAGTGCCTCGAGCTCCACATGCCGAGTCAGAATCAGACCGGTCCTGGGGTGGACTTGGGATACATGTTACATCTTACCAGAGACTCAAAGTGAAGCAAACCATAAAATATACATCTTATAACTGGGCCTAACTCTAATCATGGGTTGACCCAGAACCATATGGCTGTGATGGTCAAAAATAGGGGTAACCCCAAAATGGCAAGCCCTGGTGAATGGAACCAAGGAGGATTTAACCTGCGGTCCAATTCCTGGTGGTTTAATGTTGACCCAGAATCACGCTTCAAGGATTCAGAAGGAGATCTGCAACTATTTGGTGGCAAGGGGATTGTCCCTGAACCTTCATCTACCCGGGCTTTGGTTGTGCCACATGTGGAACGTTTTCTTTGGGCCTGCCTTGAAACTTGGGGGGCGCCCGGTGGAGGCAAAGGGACACAAATCTGGGGGAGGCCAAATGCCACAGGGCGAAAAAGGGGGAAACACGTGAGACCGACCCACTGGAAATGCCTTCTCCAATGAGGACACAAAATCTGGGAGTGCAAAAACTCCAGAATGAGACTAGCCCATTGAAGTTGTGGTATGTCTCAGGAAAAGCCAGCCATGGAAAGGGTGGAGAAGGGGAAAAACCGCTTGGAGGGGAGCGGCCAGCCCAATTTTCAGACCACAGGCCGACTGAGATCCCCGCGTGGAGTGGCACACGACGGCTGCGTGCGCTTCGTTGTGGAATGGGTTTTGATGCTCCTGGCGTGCCAGAAGCCAAGGCCACGCCAAAGTGAGCAAAGTCCGTGCTCATGTCGGAGCCAGAACCCAGCGCATACATGGACTTATGTAAGGCTTTTTGGGGAGATCAAATGGCACTAGATGAAAAAAAACAAAATTAATCCAAACTGGAACCAGTCACATCCATGTTTCGACCAAACCGACACAAGGAAAGGCGGCCATCGTTGAAGAAGAAAACATAAATCGGCTTTCCCCTCGGGTCCCGTGCCCAGATTTGCGCAGCCGGAGTTGGCCATGGGAGCGAGCTCCCCAAAGCAAAAGTTGATCATTTCTCGGTTCAGCTTCCCTCGAAAAGGGTTGGAGCCTGGTGGTTAGTTGGTTCAGCTTCCCTCGAAAAGGGTTGGAGCCTGGTGGTTGGTTGGTTCAGCTTCCCTCGAAAAGGGTGGTTTGGAGCCTGGTGGTTAGTTGGTTCAGGGTGGTTGAGGAAGGGACTTTCATCAACCCTCTACAAGAAGCAGGGACCCGTTCAAATCCCCAAAGCACCAATCACCAAGCAAAGGATAGCTGATTGGTTGCTGGATTCGGGCCCCTCTGCAAAAGCGAACAACTCTTATGGCAAACCCTTGATGTTCCATAAAGCTAAAGTCGAACGATCCAACCCAGTAGCAATCAAGAATTGACTGGTGGCGTCCATTGAAATCGACACTGTTGGAGGATCCAACAGGGAAAATGGGGGAAGCCCCGTTCCTCCGAACAAAAACAGATCTGGTACGGAGAGTTCACTACATTCCCACCCACGTCAAAGTTCACTTTACAGCCCCAAGAGTGATGTTGAAAACCACCCTGTGGGAAATATGGGCGCCTAGTTTTGGATCCCGAAACCCGTTTTAGCATCGTTTTAAATTAAGGGGAGACCAAAATAAAACCATCGCCATTTTGAAAACATCGGTCCCCCCATTTTGAGACCCAACTCCATGACGGTTCCTACTTCGCCCAAACCTACCCCCAGGGTAAATTCGGGCATATACCCTGTATATGGTAGCTAGTGGTTGTATATCCCATTAAACCCCTCGGGCCGTCGGTTTGCGGGTAGTGGAAAGCATCTTAGACCAGCAAACCTGGAGGGAAGCTTCATGGTACTGTGGATAGACGAAATCCTGCACCACCCAAGAAACCTGGGGATGAGGATTCCCTTGCAAAAACCAACAAACGATGGTTTCCCATGGATTCCAAGTGGTGCGAACGGATTTCGTCCATCCACAGTATGACCAATCCGCCAGACCCGAGCCAAGCCTCGTACTTCCGGTGAATCTCGCTCACAAAGCGGCGCATCGTCCTCTCTGTAGTCCTCCGCACGCGTTCACGCCAAGTGGCTGGCGGCCCCGCCTGTGCCTGTCTGCATGAGAGCCACGGCCAAAACAACTTGTTGTATTTTAACCAAATGCACAGAACAGAAAGGAAAGATAACAACAATTCATGCGCAGAACAAAGCTTTTCGGGAAGGTGTCGCAGCATGTGTGATCAACACTCCTTCCCGATTCTTAACCCACATCTCGCTTCCCGAGTGGATTGGCCAGAAAAAAGAGTCCAGACTTGTTGTTTACCACCAAAATGGTCCAAGCCCAAGTTTAAAGTCCAGGAACTCAGGAAGTGAGACATGAACACCTACCAACGCCATTTCTCACCCCGACTCAGTGGTTTGATCAACCCGACTCGGTCGACAGCGGCCGGGGCAGTCCCAAGAGCTTCGGCTTTCGGGATGACCAACTGGCGCGCGCGGAGTGCTGAGTTCGGTCGGAGGGGAAAAACCCCGGCAAAACGCGGGCTCCACATCCGTCCGGTTTTGGACTCCAGTGGGTGTGTCTATGTCTCCTTAAAAAATGGTGGTTGTTCTTTTGGTATCCCTTTTACAACAAAAAGGGCGTACCAACTCCAAGAAAGACACATCCATGGGGTCCTTTGCAGCTTATGACAAGATGTCCTCACCTGCAAACAGCTGAAACACATGTTGGTGGGCAGAATCGATTCCAAAAGCTTGTTCAAGAATTCCTTCCCCCTAGACTCTCGGTGCTCTCGAGCAGACTTTGAGACCTACAAGCTGCTATTTTGGAACCCAGAGGTCCCGGGACGGATCTGCACCAGCCAGTTCTGTTTGATAAGCCAAATAGTCACCACCGGTGCCTCTGGCTCTGTGGACAAAACTGGCTGGTGCTCAGGAATGTGGGAGTGACCCCCATAAACCATGCCTTGTGGTTTGCTTGAACTCGGGAATCCCTAGGTGCATCCCCACATTCCCTGCTCATCGCACCAAAGGGATGAAGTCTCCACTCGCCGGGTTGGCAGCTTCGGCCAAGGCGAGCAAAGAACGACCTCGGCTCGGAGGGTTGTTGCGCGGCTTCGCGCGGTTTCGAAAAGCGGCCTTCGTCCAAATGCGGCTGGCCTTGGCTTGCCTTATGTCGAAAAGATCTCCCTCCAAAGGGTTGCCCCTCAGCTTCCCCATCCGACAAGGGAGAGTTCCCTGTTGGATAAAGCTCAGCCCCTTGAGGCCGCCTTCGATGCGTTAGGATGGCACGCCCGCGGTGGGGCGGCATACTTGCCCCGGAGCCTCAAGAGAAAAACTCAAGGGAACCACCCAGCGAGCGGGGGCTCCTATAGTTGAGCGGTTGATGGACCCCAAACTCCCTAGCACCAAAAGTCCCGCTGTTCACAAGGCTGCCCTTCGCTTTCGTTCTTCAGCTGCTTTAGCAGAGTTGCTCTCTCGCTCTCTCTCTGTGTCGCTCTGTCTCTGTATCCCTCTCTACCTTTGGTGGCCTTGTGCTTTCCTTCCGGTTTCCTTTCGGTTTCCTTTCGAACTCTTCTCCTTGGCTTTCTTTCGGCTCCGTTTCGGTCTCCGTGTTGGTCGCCTGAACCTTTTTCCAAACAAAGTGGACGAGCCCTTTTCAAGAGGATGGTCCAACTCCCTAAAAACAAGAAGGAAAAAACAAAAAGGACAAATATTCCATTTATTTGAAGAAAAAAAAATGGCGCACAAGGACCCGGCGCCCAGTTCGCTCGTGCAAGGACAGGCAGTCCAGGACCCAGTTCTGGGCAGCACCTGTGCGCAACGCTTGGGCTCGGTACCCCTCTTGGGGGTTAGGTTTAAACTGGGCTGTCCTCAGATCCTCTGCTAAAAGTGACTAACTTTTAGTGGGTCAAATTCGGAAACCCAACCACTAAACACTAAAGAGCTAAAAGGCTAAGGAACCGGATGGCTGGGAGCCACAAAGTAAAGAGAAATCAGAGCGGAACCACCCAAATCAGGGTCGTCTGGACGGCTTGGTGTTAGCTGAAAGGGATATCAAAGGGAAACCACCCACATCTTCAGGGTCGTCTCAGACAGATACAGACCTTCGACGGATCTAAAGGAATCTTCATAGGCGAATGTTCTCCCGCAAGGAGGTTTCTTCTGGCTTCAGTTGAAGTCGTATCATGGACCAAGGATCCTCCAACATACCTTTTGAGCGTATCCCCAAGGGAGGCTCGGATGCTCAAAAGGTATGTTGGGATCCAAAATTGGCCACCAGTGCCATTACAGCCTGAGGGTACCTAGACCCTCAAACGACCAATAAAAACTGGAGATGGCCATCCAAATTTATGAGGCGAATCCAATTGTTACCCCCTTTTCTGCCGGTGGTGTGGTCCAGCGTGAAATGTGTGCCTTCCGGCGCATGCGCTTTGCTTTTTGCTACCGAAACTTCTGGGTGGAAGCACGCTTTGATGCATTTCAAATGCGTCAGTCACCTTCCTCATTCAGGCTCTGTACACTTTTCGCTTGTGGATTCATGGCGACCAGAATAACGCTGGCACACGGCGCAGCCCTTGCAACTGGCAGTTCTGAGAACTGCTTGATAAAAAAACACATCGGTCGAAACGTGGAGCTCAAACGAGGCCTGTTAAAAGCTCCCTGACACGGCGGAAGGTATCCCAACAAGTAGGGCTTCTAGGTTGGTACCATCTCCAATCTCCACCAAACCTGTACATCCGTGGGTCTAACAACCCTCAAGTACCTCTCACGTCCATGGCATTCCGCGCCCAGGTCAGCACGTACTCGAAGTCCCAGATATCCATGCCGCACTTTCGAACATGCATGGTGTCCACTTTGCAGTGCTGGGACACGTCGCTCACATTCAGGAACATGTCGTCTATGAAGAGCAGGTCTTTCCTCGCCAGGCAGTTCCTCTCCAGGATCGTCTCGATAACCTGCAAACAAACGACGAGGCGGAGTGTGCCATCCAGCAAAACCAGTGGCTTTCCCACGGTTTCTGTAGCCGGTTTCTTGGGAAGCTCATATTGACCGATCCAAAACACCCAGATATTTGACTGAGGGGCGTCCTTTCCCCAGAGGGGTAAAAATTGATCAGTCAAAATAATGGTCTACTTGCAAACCAGGGGTCAGGCGAGGCCATGATTAACAATGGTGGCGCCAAAACAAAAATCGTAAGGTCAACTTGCTGGCAACTGAGTGACTGAGTGTGCCAAACCTAGGCCAACAGAAAAAGAAGCTTTCGAAGGAATAAGACACGGCCATCCGCCGGCTAGAACTCCCCCACTTCGTGTTGAAGCTACACAAATCACACCAGGCACCATACCCCAGGCGCGCATCTTGGCTTTCTGTCCAAAGCCCACTTTCTGGGAGATGGGGGGCTTTCCGAACCTACATTTGCTTACATACAAAGGGCTTACATACATGGTCGGCTTCGGTCCAAAGCCCCGCCTGGCTCTTGGGCACCGCGAGCTCGAAGTCCTCGCGCCCGAAGATGAGCTCCGCCCCGAAGAACTGGGCCATGGGCCCCAAGGCCTGGCACCCGCGGCGAGTGGCGACTCCAGGCGCGCGTCAGCCCCGAGGCGAGCGCCGGTGAAGGCCGCGGGTGTCAACCAAAAAAACAACGGGGTAAGCCCAAAACGGGCTGAACCCAGACAAACGGAGACGTTGGTAAAAAAAACACCCTGCGGCGCCAAAAAGACTTTTTGGGGGGAAGGTTCTCCAATTTGAACCACCTGAACGGCGGCACCGCGGCGGTGCTTCTTATTTCTGCGGGTATCTCTGGTATACCCCCGCCCGTGAGGTTTCAAAGGTTCCCAAAGCTTTAAGGCTTTGGCTTGGGGGTCCAAAACACGGTAAACCCAGCCAATCTTTTGCCGCATCCCAACCCTCGAAATCAGATTCGTTGCTCTGCCCTCAGATCCCCTGCTAAAAGTGACGAACTTTTAGTGGGGTAAATGGAAACCCAACCTAAACCCTAAAAAGCTAAAAAGCCAAGGAACCGGATGGCTGGGAGCCACCAAGGTTCTTGTGGTTGTTTTTGTCGTTTCTTTTTTCCAGGGCTTCACCAAATTTCGCGGGGAGGGGCCCAACCGGCTCGCCCTCCGAAGAGGAACTCCCCCCGCCTGTTGGATGACGGCTCGCTGGTTGCGGGACACCATCCCCAGCCTCGCCGACTGGGAGAGCTCCTCCAGGAAGACCTCGCACAGGACCCAGTGGTCTAGTGGCCTAGGGGCACCTTTCTCATGCTTTCCGGGGATCCTTTCTTAGGCAAGTGTCCTCTTGTCGGAATCGATTTATTTGGATCCTCTCACTAGGGTCCTCCGGATTCTTCCGAAAAATTGGCCTTTGGAGACTTCCAGCGGCTTCCTGAAAAATGCCACCTCCCAGCGGAATCCTGAAGAAAAAGAACACGCCCGCAAGCACACCACCCAAAAAAACAGCCTTCAGCTTCCATTCCCTTTGAATTTCTTAATTTCCTATCAGTTTCCATTTGTATCCTCAAAACACACCCCGAAGCCACCGGCCCGCCGCCACCTACCCCCCTCCCAACCGCCACCTCCCGCCCGACGCCGAGGCGACGCCTCCAGGAGCTCCAGCCGCTCAGCGCCGCCGAAGATCCGCCGCCGCTGGGCCGCGGAGCGCACCGATCCCCCGCAGCTCTCCTGGCGCGTCGATCGATCGCCGATCGCGGCGCCTCGATCCATCGATGGATCTCGGGAAAGTCGATGGCGCCGAAGCGCATGGCTTGGTTGCTGGCGAGACCCCCCGGCGAAAAGTATGCTTCCCCTGTTTGATTTTCCTTTTTAATATATATATATATATATACTTTTGGGGGGGTTAGTGGAAAGTCTTTCACTTTTTGGGGTTTGGTGGAAAACCCAATACTTGATTTCAACCGAAAAGGTTAAAGTCTAAAGATCCGACCCAACAACTCGGCACGTCAGGCAGCACTAAACCCAGGGACACCCGCCTGGTAAACAGGGGTTGCTTTAAAAAAAGGGTCAACATTCAGTGGTTTGTTCCTTAGTAGGGGTTGATTCCTTGTCCATCCTTTTCATTCTCATCGTTCTTTCACAAAACCGGATCCGGTTTCCCGATTCCGGAGGCTTTCTAGAAAGAAAGATCCTGGAAAGAATGGGAAAGGTACCCCTAGTGTAATACAAAACCCAGGGACACCCCCTAGTAAACAGGGGTTGACTAAAAGAAGGGCTCAACATGAGGTGGTTTCTCAGCCTAGCTATAACTCCCACAAAAGCCATGGTTAGAAGTCTCCGATCAGTGGGTTTATAACCAGGCTTGCTCACCACTTGCTAAGTGCTCGATCGCCCCCTTAAGGCAGGGGAAGGGGGGCTGAAAGGCGGTGCTTCAAATTGGCGGTGTAAATATGGGTCCTCTTGAGAGCTGGTCCGGTTTTTTGAGGCGGTTTCGGGTTTGAGGGTAGCCCTTTTTGGGGTGTTGAAGGGAAACCAAGTTCGGACAGCTGGGTTGCTGTTGGATCTTCAGAAAAGAAAAAAAACAGAAGGAAACCCACCACCGACCGGGGATCCTAATTTTGAGAAACGCAGAACTCAGTTCCTGAGCGGATTGGCCAACAAAAAGCTGAAACTCGCCGTTTTCGCCAGCAACGTGGACTGCTCAACAAGTATCAAGTCCAGGAACTCGGGGAGTCAGACAACCATCTCAAAGATTCCCTGCAAGATGACCATGACCATGGTCCACATAAGGCGGGGTTGATGGCACACATGCGCGCGCCTCTCCCAAAGCGGGGACACTTAACATGCGTGGGTATTGACCAACCTGTTTCCGATTCTTCATACGCCCAGCAACCGTCACACTGAGCGCCGCAATTTTCCTGGGAGGGGAAGCTAGGCTTCAGCCCAAAAACGCCTTGAACACACCGGGTCCCCTGAGGCAGCGTCTTGAAACAACTTCCTCAGGGATCCTTACATGAAAAACACCTGAACATTGCAACTTGTAAATGCTGGTGTCCAACTTTCTTTTGGTGTTGAAAAAGCAACATGTTTCAAATGGATGGGCAAAATGAATTTCTTTTAAGGAGCCCTGTCCCTCTCTTGACTCGATTTATTGCGGTCGACGCCTGGGAGGTGAGAACCCCATCGAAGTCGAAGATGACCACGCGGTCATTGTCGACGACGCGGCTCGGGCGCAGCGAGATGATGGCGCCGGGCTTCTCCACCTGTCTCTGGTGGGCTGAACACCCAGCAAGCCTGCAAAAAACAATAGTGGAGTGGCAACCATCCCCAAAACGGCACCTTAGGTTTTAGGTTTGGACCCGCCACTATAATATAAGTGAAACCCATTGTTAAAAACCATGCTTCAAGAATTCTGAAGGCGGATCTTTTTGCAGCTATTTCTGGCAAAAAACTGCCCCTTGCTAACCGGATCATCTACCCGAATCGGTTTGATTGCACGTGGCTCACCACAGAGGCTTTCCCCGAAGGGCTCTTTAACCCAAACGGCTACTTTGTGCGGTGCAAGGAATTTTTGAGGGAATGAGTTAAATGAGTTGAGACAGTTAAGACAGTTAAGACTGTCAACCAGTCAACCAGCCAACCAGAACAGTCCCCTACCCAAGTCCTTAAGCTTCAGACGTTACTACCCAGTGGCTATCAGTATGGGTGTGCCGACACTTGGAGTCAGTACACCTTCTTGGCTTTTGGTGATTGTGTAAAATCATAAATGAAAGGGAAACCCGGCATTTGAAGACAAATCCATGTGAGGGTTGATGTCCACCATTTTTGAGCAAAGTCCGTTTCCCCCAATTAGCCAAACTCCATCTGAGTGGTTCCTAACAAAATTGTTTTGAGCCCCACTTCTGGGGTTGGTTTCGCAACGGGAACAACAAAAAGGACACCAGGTCTACGCCAAACATGCCCGCAAGGAATCAAAAAGGCGGCTCTTCCGCTCTGAAATTGTATGTTCTAAACCTCAATTACCCAGGGGTCCAAGTGTTATTTTCTGGAACAGAAGACCGGCCCCCCACCTTGGCCCTTCTCAGCGCAAGAACCACCAGGAGCAGAACGAACAAGGCGATGAGGTGCAAAGGCGCCAAATCCCAGCTGGCTTGAAAATAGGACCAGCTGTCCATGGCGAGATCTTGGTCAACGGGCAACCCTAACCTGGAATGCTTGTCCTTACCTGCTTCATCATGTCAGTTCAAACTAAGTTGGCTCTTCGTGTCTCGTCATGTCAGTCCAGGGTAAGAATGCAAGATGTTTGCAAACGTTGACCCAGAGATTCTACGAGATCTGGGAGCCAAACGCCGCCGTGATAGAGATCAAGCCGCGCAGCAACAACAAACGCAGGCGCGTGTGCGTGCGCGTGTGCGGGTGGGTGGGTGGTGTGGGCGGGCGGAGCGGGGCGGGCGGCGGGCGGGCGGGCGGCGGGCGGGCGGGCGGGGGCGCGTGGGCGGGCGGGCGGGCGGGCGGAAAGGCGGGTGGGCGGGCGGGCGGGCGGGCGGGCGGGCGGGACGCGTGTGGGTGGGCGGGTGTGGGTGGGCGGGTGTGGGCGGCGTGGGTGGGTGTGGGTGGGTGGGTCTGGGTGGGTGGTTCTGGTGGGTGGGTATGGGTGGGTGGGTATGGGTGGGTGGGTATGGGTGTGGTGGGTATGGGGTGGGTGGGTATGGGGTGGGTGGGTATGGGGTGGGTGGGTATGGGGTGGGTGGGTATGGGGTGGGTGGGTATGGGTGGGTATGGGGTGGGTGGGTATGGGTGGGTGGGTATGGGTGGGTGGGTATGTATGGGTGGGTATGGGTATGGGTGGGTATGGGTATGGGTGGGTATGGGTATGGGTGGGTATGGGTATGGGTGGGTATGGTAGGGGTAATGGGGGGTATGGGTGGGTATGGGTGGGTATGGGTGGGTATGGGTGGGTATGGGTGGGTATGGGTGGGTATGGGTGGGTATGGGTGGGTCCGTTAATCCTAACCAAGGACTAACCCAGAATCCACGTCTCACCCGTGTCCCGACTCTCTGGCACACCCGCGAAGCGGCTCGTTGTTTTCACAGGCAGCGCACTCATTCACCGTGCGCATGTGGCTTGAGCCAAAATAGGCACGCCACTCCAACTTCCTCAAGGTGGACATGTCAACTTAAGACTCAAACTCGTCATCAAAAGCCAAAATAGGCACGCCAGCATGTCAAAAGACATAGCATCAAGCCTACTGCCTAATGCCTATGGCTGCAATGACAAAATCATGCATGAGAATGCCAAGATCTGCAGTCGCCCCCAGTTGCAGCCTCCAGCCGCGGCGGGGAATGCAACTCCAGAGCATTCTCATCCTTAATTGTGGGAACAGCCTCATTCTTCAAATTGCGGGGGCTCCCTATCCTATTCCACTGGGCAGTGGCCAATTCCTTATACCCTTCATCCGGCCCTGGACCTGGGCTCAGTACTGCTTCGGCTCGGCTCATCCGATCTTTCGTCGGATGCACGTCGGGCACCGGCTGAAAACGTAGGTACGCTTTCCGCAGGCACAGAGCCCGTCGTGCTCCCACATCTCTCTATCCTTCTTCTTCAAGGTCCTCAATTCGGTCTTCCCCATATAGCTCCGCCGTCACGGCTCTCCAAAGAGCTACTTCTTCGACCGTAGACATTCCGCGGCCATCCTGCCGGCGGGTCGGTCGACCTTCACGCTTCCTCCAGCGCTGCCAAGCCGGGAAGCTCATTTCCTCAGGCCTTGGTACCCTTCCATCTCTGATGCAGTCAAGCAGAGTGACACCAAGTTCTTCGCCTGAAACTTCCTGGCTCATCCTTCAGTAGAGGCTGCCCACACAAGCCTTTTACCGCGGTGTGCTTACAAGGGTCAGGGAGTTCAGATTTCCCAGAACAGCCCCCAACTGTGAGAGGCGTTAATCCTAACCAAGGACTAACCCAGAATCCACGTCTCACCCGTGTCCCGACTCTCTGGCACACCCGCGAAGCGGCTCGTTGTTTTCACAGGCAGCGCACTCATTCACCGTGCGCATGTGGCTTGAGCCAAAATAGGCACGCCACTCCAACTTCCTCAAGGTGGACATGTCAACTCGCAAGACATGTCCACTCATGCAACCTCAAGCAAAAATAGCTCACTTACCAAAGCCTAATGCCTATGGCTGCAATGACAAAATCATGCATGAGAATGCCAAGATCTGCAGTCTGGGTATGGGTGGGTCTGGGTATGGGTGGGTATGGGTATGGGTGGGTGTGGGTATGTGGGTGGGTGGGGGTGGTGGGGGTGGGTGGGGGTGGGTGGGTGGGGGTGGTGGGGGTGGGTGGGGGTGGGTGGTGGGGGTGGGGGTGGGTGGGGGTGGGTGGGGTGGGTGTGGGTGGGTGGGTTGTGGGTGTGGGTGGGTTGTGGGTGTGGGTGTGGGTGTGGGTGTGGGTGTGGGTGTGGGTGTGGGTGTGGGTGTGGGTGTGGGTGTGGGTGTGGGTGTGGGTGTGGGTGTGGGTGTGGGTGTGGGTGTGGGTGTGTGGGTGTGGGTGTGGGTGTGGGTGTGGGTGTGGGTGTGGGTGTGGGTGTGGGTGTGGGTGTGGGTGTGGGTGTGGGTGTGGGTGTGGGTGTGGGTATGGGTGTGGGTATGGGTATGGGTATGGGTATGGGTATGGGTATGGGTATGGGTATGGGTATGGGTATAGGTATGGGTATGGGTATGGGTATGGGTATGGGTATGGGTATGGGTATGGGTATGGGTATGGGTATGGGTATGGGTATGGGTATGGGTATGGGTATGGGTATGCGTGGGCATGGGTGGGCATGGGTGGGTATGGGTGGGTATGGGTGGGTATGGGTGGGTATGGGTGGGTATGGGTGGGTTTGGGTGGGTTTGGGTGGGTATGGGTGGGTTTGTGTGGGTTGGTGTGGGTTTGTGTGGGTTTGGGTGGGTATGGGTGGGTATGGGTGGGTATGGGTGGGTATGTGTGGGTGGGTGTGGGTATGGGCGGGTATGGGTGGGTATGGGTGGGTATGGGTAGGGGTGGGTATGGGGGTATTAGTGGGTATGGGTATGGGTGGGTATGGGTATGGGGGTGGGTAGGGTGGGTATGGTATGGGTGGGTATGGGTATGGGTGGGTATGGGGTATGGGTGGGTATGGGTATGGGTGGGTATGGGTATGGGTGGGTATGGGTATGGGTATGGGTGGGTATGGGTATGGGTATGGGATGGGGGGTGGGGGGTGGGTATGGGTATGGGTGGGTATGGGTATGGGGGTGGGGTGGGTATGGGTATGGGTGGGTATGGGTATGGGTGGGTATGGGTGGGTATGGGGGTGGGTATGGGTATGGGTGGGTATGGGTATGGGTGGGTATGGGTATGGGTATGGGTGGGTATGGGTATGGGTGGGTATGGGTATGGGTGGGTATGGGTATGGGTGGGTGGTATGGGTATGGGTATGGGTGGGTATGGGTCTGGGTGGGTATGGGGGTGGGTATGGGTATGGGTATGGGGGTATGGGTATGGGTGGGTATGGGTATGGGTGGGTATGGTATGGGTGGGTATGGGTATGGGTGGGTATGGGTATGGGTGGGTATGGGTATGGGGTGGGTATGGGTATGGGTGGGTATGGTATGGTATGGGTATGGGTGGGTATGGGTATGGGTGGGTATGGGTGGTATGGGTGGGTATGGGTATGGGTGGGTATGGGGTATGGGTGGGTATGGGTATGGGTGGGTATGGGTATGGGTATGGGTGGGTATGGGTGGGTATGGGTATGGGTGGGTATGGGTATGGGTGGGTATGGGTATGGGTAGGTATGGGTATGGGTGGGCATGGGTATGGGTGGGCATGGGTATGGGTGGGCGGGTATGGGTGGGCGGGTATGGGTGGGCGGGTATGGGTGGGTGGGTATGGGTGGGTGGGTATGGGTGGGTGGGTATGGGTGGGTGGGTATGGGTGGGTGGGTATGGGTGGGTGGGTATGGGTGGGTGGGTGTGGGTGGGTATGGGTGGGTGGGTATGGGTGGGTGGGTATGGGTGGGTGGGTGGGTGGGTATGTCACGTGTCGAAGAGAGGTCCCACTGCCCCCCCCCCTTGAAACTACTGCGCCCAAGGGAAAATATAGGTATACAAGCACTACATAGCCACTTGTTCATAGCGACATACCTGAATTTCCCTTGAGGGTTTTGATTTGGGGGTATGAGAACCTTCGCACAGATGCGCCTGACTTGATCAATTCGCTGGACTCCGCAAAAATGGCCTGGACGGGTTGGATCGTGGCGGTCAGCGAATGTTCTGAACTTGAAACTGGGCCCCCTGCCAAAAGCTTAACTTTCAGTGGGTTAAATAGATCTCGTGGCTTCGGAACTCGGAAATCCACCAGGCTCCGTCAAATCCCCGGGGCCGGCAACGGCTTCCAAGCATGAAGACTCCATCAAGCCGAATGGAACGCGCGTTTTTTTCGGCTCTACCACGTGCCCATCCAGAGCTCCGAGGGAAGCTCCGAAAAACCCTCCAGCTCTTTAAAGACAAGCCTTCTGGGGGGACTCCCACAGCCCCCGCGGCGCGGCTGCCGTGCACAACCAGTTGAACCTCCCCCAGCCGCGGCCTCGCGGCTCGGAGATCGATCTGGGCTGTTGTTTCCTGAATGCGGCTCGCCTGGGCGCGCGAGCCAGGCGAGAGGGAGGTTGATGCGTGCAGTGAACCCAACTCTGAGTTGACACGCTATCAAAAGACGATCAGGACGCGTTGAGCCCTTGTCAATAGAAACCAAAAGGATGTGTTTTACCAACTTTAGGGGGATCCTCCGAAAAGCTGCTTCCCTCAGTCGAAGGATCCAGAAATTGACTTGGGATGTGCTGCTTGTTCCAAAGTGAAACCCACAAGAGTCCGACATGATCTTCTACTTTCCCCATTTGGCGCAAAGAAGTCCCGCCGGGAGGAGGATTTTTTGCAGGCAACGAACCCACCAACCCAACTAACATAGACTCTGAAACCCAGGAAAATTGGAGAACCAAGATCATGGTTAGCGAGTTTACTTGTTAAAGGGGATACGTTGAGGGTCCCTCCCAACTACTTGCTGACCCTTTTGTGTATTCAGACTTTCAAAAAGAAACCGGGGGGTAGCCAAAAACGGGGCCACTGGTTCATGGTATTTCACGGGGATCGTGCGGCTACCAACCTTTCTTTCCTCAAAGAGACTGGTAATTCGCCCAACGACGCGCGCGGCTTTTGAACAAGCTGGGCTGTTCAAAATGGAGGGTTGGCCAATCCTAATCCATAATCCCTATAGGAAAGCCACCAGAAAGGGGACCTTGCGAAACCCCAGAGGATTAAGGATTGCCTTTGAACAGCCTAGACAAGCAGAAACCGAAAAACCGAGGCCCCGTGCTCTCAGGCGACGTGGGCGCAGCACCGACCGGCAGCGTCAGTCGAAGTCGCCGCTCGAACTTCCCCTGGAACCGACGGGCTGCGACGGAGAGATGGATGCAGGTCTCGGGTTCGAGAAACGCGGGGGCGGGGTTGCAGATGGTCTTTTTTAAAAGAGGGGAGGGGAAGGTTGGCTCCGAAACGCTCCAACTCTTTAAGAGGCAAATTTGGATCCCCCTTGCTCCGTAACGGCTCCCGTCCATCCACTAGCCAGCAATAGAGAGATGGAACCGGAAAAAGAACCTACTCTCCCACCAGCTAACCTGGAAGTGCACAGACCCCTGTAGAAAGACTACTTTCCTCTTGGAAAGGGCCTTTGTGCACTTCCATGTAGTTGGTGGTAGGGCTCCCAAGAGGAGATTCCTCCCAAAAACACGTCATCAGTCCTTCAACGACACCGGATCTGCGAATCTCGAATGGCAACTTGAGGCTCATGTGCCCCGTGCTGCCGCATGCTTCATGCTCGCTGCGCGAGGCAAGTATCCCAAAGACCCATTCTGGGTACCTATTTTTGATGCACAGCCACCTGCAGCGTACAAAGCTCCAAAGCCTCCGGGGAGTTCTCTTCGTCTGCGTCGCGCATTGCGGCCCTGAGCATGAAAAACCATAGCGAGGCAGTAAACTCCAGCTTCGTCATGCATGACTCACTTGCAAGATCTGCAAACACCAGACTACAAGGGCCCTGAAAACAAAAGCTAAAGAAAACCTCTAAAAAACAAACGGCCCTCCCAAAATTGCCTCTTGGGATCTTCACGCAACGCACCGAAATGCGAGCACTGAAAAAAGGCGAAAAGCTGGGTGTTGACGATAGCCTGCTGAAAGATGGCGGAGGTGGCAGGTGTACATGTCCATTTTGCCCGCTCGGGCTTGCACGACATTGCTGAGGGAGAGGGCGACATCGTTGAACTCACCTGCGGCTTAAACTGTCAAGTCCGTTGCTGGGCTGAGTCAAAAGACTTGAAGGGACCCCAAAAACCAAAAGCCAAGACTTGAAAGGGCGCAACTCTTTGGTCCGCAGCTCCTGTGGGAACTTGAGACGATCCACTTTCAGCAGCTCCCCCTCCCCCCCGTAGGAGATTGGGGGCTGGCTGCATGTGGGTCTCTCTGTGACTCAAACAAAGTTGCTTTTGGAGAGAAAACGACATGAGAAACTCACCGCCGAAGTTCCAAGGCCATGGTGGACCGCCGGTTTTTTCAAGGCCATGGTGGTTCCCCGTAGAAGTTTCGACCCTGGCACGGGTGCAACCACAGTCCGTGATAAGCGGCCGGCATCGTCCAAGTTCCGCTGCTCGGTGAAGTTGCTGCTGATGAAGCGCCGGAGGCTTCTACTCATCCTACCCGGAGGCTTTGGCAGGCTGGTTGGTGGACGGTAAATGGAAACATGGACCAAAGCCTGCGGTGTTGTGGTGTTGTTGTTTTTTATTATTATTTTGACCCATACCCATACCAAAAATCAAGGAAGCGTGGGAGATTGATGTCCGCAAACACATTTTTCAGTTGCTCCCACTCTCTGTCGCTTCCCGCGGCCATAGAGTGGCTCCCAGTTCTCGGCATCTCTTTGCCTGGTCCCATACCCTCACTTTTGGGGGGAGACGTCGACGTCTATTTTTCCCGCTTCGGGCCACACAGCAGCGAACCTGAAAGGAAGAAAACCCACAGCCCCCAGGACGCCTCGCGTGGAAAAACTTGCCACCGGGAATGAGTTGGAATGACCCTACAAACCATCCATCCTATGGTGGCCTTCGTTCGGGAATCCCCAAAACCGGTTCATTCCACCAACACCCAGGTCATTCCCAACCTAGTGTCCTTTAACAGAATACCTAGGTTCATGCCCAACCCCCGGAAGGTCGTTCCATACCTACCGCACCGAGCCTCGGAAAACGAGACGACCACCCTACCCTCTTGCTCTCCGGCGACACGTTGCGCCTCTTCCCTTCAGATCCATCGCCGCCGAAGAGCTGCTTGGCATTCACGCGGACCTTAACGAACGCGGGAGAAAGGAGCCTCTCTTCGCTAGAGAAGCAAAGCAAAAAGCCCAGTTTCAACCTGCAAAAGGGGGTTCGCCCCATCCTTTTCCCTTTGCATGGGCTCACTCGGGGCTTCTTCCCACTACAAATCGGAAAACCCCACCCTCGACCGCTCGACCGCCTAAATCGATCCCCGAAAGATCTCAGCTGAGCCCCGCGCCAGCGCCTCGATGTCGCTGAGCTTGTCCCTCACCTTCCTCACCAGTCCCTGGAGCCATCGGTCTCTGGCCGAGCTCGAGCCGAGCCCCCAAAGAGCGCCAAGACGGAAAAAACACGAGGGGGAACCACAGGGATCCGGATGCATTATAATTACACCTGAGCATCGCAACTTGTAAATGGTGGTTTCCAACTTGATTTTGGTGTTGAACAAGCAACATGTTTCAAATGGATGGGCAAAATGTATCTCTTAAGGAGCCCCTGGAACACGAGGCTCGTTGGTTGGCTCCTCGTGTTCGGCGCGGTACCTTTCTTCTTTGAGGTGGTTTTGAAGGGAAAGCAATGGGACGCCACCCTTGTTTAGGGACTGCCTGCCTGGGGCGTTGAAAGAGTCTTCGCCCCCGGACACAGCAAAATGCTGTCACGGCAAGCGTTCTTCCCGAAAGCCAACAACTCCCTGAAGTCCAAGTAAGTACCCTCAAGGTGGGAGAAAGTGGCTAAAGCAAGTGTCAGGGTTTGTCTCTTCATGGAAGTTTAAAGAAACACACGAGAAGCAAAACACGTTTTAGGGGGCTGAGGGGCTGATCCCCCCCCAAATGGCTCTTGTGTGTGGATTTAAGGCTAGGAGCACCAGGTGCACTGCTCCTAGCCTAACCTCCTGTGAGCCCCGCCTCGGCTTTGTTCAGCCGCTGCTCCATATGACCACCCTCCATGTAGCCACCTCGTTCATGGAGCAAGACCTCGGGATGGGAAAATGGGAACGGTCACAATGACTGCAGGAAACCCCCCTCTTGATTTCTATGTAGCTGTGGTTGTCACAAATAGGGTAACCCCCAAATGGGTTGCCCTGGCAAGTGGAAACCTGGACCAAAACCTACGGTGCCCTGGTGGTTCAATTTTGACCCATACCGACCATAGACAGCAGAGAGACTCACACAGCAAAGCCGAGCAGACGAGCATTCCGCTGGGTCAAAGTGAGCATTGGCAATTTGCAGTGCCGAGGAAGAGCTCCCAATGAGGCCTTCTGTAGGGCTTGCTTGAAGCTATTCACGCCGCCCCCAGACCTCCTCCCAGGTCTCCTGATCCAATTGTGGTGTGCCCAATTGGTTTCCGCAGGCGCGGAGGACAAGAAATGGCCCCGCTCGTCCCCCCCCCCCCAGAAAAAAAAAGAAGAAAAAAAAAACTCGAGAGCCTTCGGCAAAAAAACCCTCTCATCGGAGAACCTCTGGCTGGACCAACTTCGAGTGGCTGACCGGCTGACCGGCTGACGCTCGCTGGGCTCCCCGGCTCGCTGGTTCTGGATGAGCTTTATAACACTGGACAAATCCTGAGCGGGGCAACGCGGCCGCGCGGGGAGTTCGCAAAAAAAAAATCGGAGGTTTTTGTTGGTTCTCTTCACAAGAATTCCAGAGGGCAGGTTTGTAGCCAAACCCAAACTCATCATTCAGTTGGCGCCCTTTTGAAGCGTCCTTGGATACTTTGATGGGGAGTTGCAGAAGAAAGTACCTCTCGGCAAATCTCAATACCCCGGCAAACTCGAAACACCAAACGCAACGCTCCTTAGCCTGTAACCTTGCCAGCCTGCTGCGTGAACAAGCTTCGGCCATAAGCGAGCGGTGTGGGCCGTGGGAAGAAGCGCATGCAAGCATACTCATGGCCCAGGCCAGCCGAAAACCTTCCGGGCATTTCGGGTTGGAACCTTTGACGTCCCAGATAGGGATGTCTCTTTTTTGGGTGGTACCCCTTTTTGGATAGGTTTCTAAGCCAAAAAAACAAAAAATTACACCAGCAGAGACCCCAAACAGTTGAGGGCTGACGGGCGAGCACAAACATGCCAACAGCTTGTGGCTTTCTGCGCTTCAACACGGATGAATCAAAATGATGCAGTCGTGAACCTGGCGCGCGTTGCGTTGCTGCACGTGTGTTGCTGGCATGCTTCGCGCTTCAGCACCGCGCCAGAACTGAGGTTGGGCAAGCGCGCGCGATGGCGGGCGAGCGCGCGCGCGTGAACGCAAGTGTGGCCGCGCAAGCACGCAGTCACATGGGCAGTTCAAACACACATGTCCAATTCAGACACACATGTGTGTACACGTGGAACACACATACGTATACGACTGAAACAGTATACATTCACCTGCGGCACACGCATAAATGTGTTGAGCTGGAAAACAAACATGTGCTTCTTGGAAAGCACACACACACATGTGCAAACGTGGAACGCACATATGTGTTCACTTACGACACGCTAATGCGTTCACGTGGAACACACATGTGTGTTCACTTGGAACACAATGAAACGCGTGTCCAATTCAGACACACATGTGTGTACACGTGGAACACACATGCGTTCACCTGGAACACAAAGACGCGCAATTAAAGCACACATGTGTGTACGCGTGGGACACACATATGTATACCACTGGAACACAAACATGTGTCCACCTGGAACACCGCGTGTGCGATTAAAGCACAGATGTGTGTACATGTGGAACACACATATGCGCACACGTGAGCAAACATAAATGCTCACCTAAATCGCACACACATGCGCGCACCTCGAAAACAATCATGCGTTTTCTGGAGCGCATACATGTGCACACCTGGAGAGCAAATATGTCGTCAGATGCCAAAAAAAGTTCACTAGCACATACTAATGTGTTCACGTGAAACACACATCTGTTCACCTGGAACACAAACACGTGTCCAATTGGAACACACATGTGCGTACACGTGGAACACACATATGTGCACACGTGAACACGCATATGTGCACACGTGAACACTCACATATATGTGCACCCGGAACACACACCCGTGTGCTCATCTGATAACAACCATGTGTTCTCCTGGAACACAAACACGTGTCCAATTGGAACACGCATGTGTGTACACGTGAACACACATATGTGTACACGTGGGAGACGCAAATGCGCACACGTGAACACACACACATGTGCACACGTGGAACACACACATGTGTACTGCACATGTGAACACACACATTTATGCGCGCGCGGAAAACACAGACACACACGAGTGTTCATCTGATAACAAACACGTGGTCTCCTGGAACACAACCGTGTGTCTAATTGGAACACAACCGTGTGTACACGTGAACACACATATGTGTACACGTGAACACACACATATTTATATATATATATATGCGCACCCGGAACACACACACACACGTGCGTTCATCTGAAAACAAACATGTATTCACCTGAAACACAAACACGTGTCCAATTGGAACAAACATGTGTGGACACATGAACTCACAAATGTGTACATGTGGAACACACATATGTGTGCAAATGAACACACATACATGCGCACGCGGAGCAGACACACACACACACACACACGCGTTCATCTGATAACAAACATGTGTCCTCCTGGAACACAAACACGTGTCCAGTTGGAACGCACATGTGTGCACGCGCGAACACACAATGTGTGCCGTGAACACACATACAAAAAAGTGCACGCGGAGCAGACACACACGCACGTGTTCATCTGATAACAAACATGTGTTCTCCTGGAACACAACCGTGTGTCTAATTGGAACACAGACGTGTGTACACGTGAACACACATATGTGTACACGTGAACACACACATATATACGCGCACCCGGAACACACACACACGAGTGTTCATCTGAAAACAAACATGTGTTCACCTGGAACACAAACACGTGTCCATTGGAACACACATGTGTGTACACGTGAACACACATATGTGTACACGTGGGAGACGCAAATGCGCACACGTGAACACACACATGTGCACACGTGCAACACACACATGTGTACTGCACATGTGAACACACACATTTATGCGCGCGCGGAAAACACAGACACACACGAGTGTTCATCTGATAACAAACACGTGTTCTCCTGGAACACAACCGTGTGTCTAATTGGAACACAGACGTGTGTACACGTGAACACACATATGTGTACACGTGAACACAGCACACGTGGAACACACACATGTGTACTGCACATGTGAACACACACATTTATGCGCGCGCGGAAAACACAGACACACACGAGTGTTCATCTGATAACAAACACGTGTTCTCCTGGAACACAACCGTGTGTCTAATTGGAACACAGACGTGTGTACACGTGAACACACATATGTGTACACGTGAACACACACATATATATGCGCACCCGGAACACACACACACACGTGCGTTCATCTGAAAACAAACATGTATTCACCTGAAACACAAACACGTGTCCAATTGGAACACACATGTGTGGACACGTGAACACACAAATGTGTGCACGTGGAACACACATATGTGTGCAAATGAACACACACACATGCGCATGCGGAGCAGACACACACACACACGTGTTCATCTGATAACAAACATGTGTCCTCCTGGAACACAAACACGTGTCCAGTTGGAACGCACATGTGCGCACGCGTGAACACACAATGTGTGCACGTGAACACACATACAAAAAAAGTGCACGCGGAGCAGACACACACGCACGTGTTCATCTGATAACAAACATGTGTTCTCCTGGAACACATACACGTGTCTGATAAGAACACACATGTGTGTACACGTGAACACACATATGTGTACACGTGCAACACGCATATGTGCGCACGTGAACGCACATATGTGTACATGTGGAACACACATATGTGCACACGCGAACACACACACACACACACATATATATATATATGCGCGCCCGGAACACGCACACACACACACATGCGTACACCTGGAACACATATGTGTGTATGTCTGGAAAGCACATTTCTGTTCACCTGCAACACACATATGTGTTCACCTGGAACCCATATATGCGCTCACTTGGAACAGGCATTTGTGTTCACGTGCGACACTGGTGCAGACCTGGATCACACAAGCATGTTTAACCAGAACAAACTTCTGTGTTGACTTGTAACACACATATGTGTACACATGGAACACACGTGTGTGCACATGTGGAGAAACATGTGCAACACAAATGTGCAACACACATGCGTTCACCTGGGCAACAAAAATGTGTTCGCATGGACAAATCAAGTTCCCGAAGCCGACTGTGAGGCGCTATTCCATGGGGCTCTGCCTTGAACAACGCTTGTGTTTTATATGCATGTCCCAAGTAGGAAAATAGTGTTCGTGTACGATCAATCAAGCTTTTTTGCAACATGTTGCTAGCGTGCGAGCCTGCTGCTGCTGCTGCTGCTACTACTGCTAGTACTATCAGTATCGGATGCGTCTCCAGCAGTTACAGGCTTCAGCTTAGCAAAAGCTTTCCGGCGCATTGCGCTTCTTTCTCGCTTAGCTGCACAGTGTCTTTCGTATCGATTGCTAAAGTGCTTTGATCGTATTGTGGCAACTCTTCGTATCGATTCAGTAAAGCATTTGCTTTCGCAGGGAAATACGCAACCCAATTCTTCCGTATGCTCGGTACAAGGCATCCCTGCCGTCTTGCCTCAGCCGTTGTTTCTCCCCTTTGTCCAGCAAATCGCACTCCATGATAATTGCATGCGAGGAGAGCGGAAGCAAATTTGGATTGAAGCGTAACTGGGAACCGGTCACAGCTGACCACTGCGCTAGCGCCTTGCTAGCGCGCGGCTAGCGCGGGTTCGCCGTATTTTTTGGAGTCACGGCGACCATCTGTGTGGATTTGACAAATTAAGGCCACGTAAGATGAAGGTAAACGTGCGGGCTGGCTTCAAGTACTAAGTAAGAACTGCAACATTACACCCTTGAAAGCCACGCAAAGCCCATCGCGGCAACCCACGCGCCAACTCTTGGAAACCAAGATCACCGAAGACCCTAGCGCAAACCAAGCGCCATCCTAGCGCCTCCAGTGGGGAGCGGGCAATCCATTGGTATTTGCAGGACTCCGCTTTGTGTGAATGAAAAACTGCACAAAGTGACTGCGACGGTGGCCTCTGTAGACTAAACCCCCTTACTAGGAATTTTGACCGGATCGCATATGTGTTTTATCAGAACAATCGCATGCTTTCACCTGGAACACAAACATGTGCTGACGTGGAACACACTCATGTGGTCACATGCAAAAAGTGCGTGTTCACTTGGAACGCGCCGATGTGGTCAGCTGGAACACACCAAGAACACACAATCATTTACTTGAAGCACTCGTACGTGCATCCGCAGCATGCTGCCTGTGGCTTGATCAAGCGCACGCGCGCGCTCAAACACACGTTTCTGAGCCTCAAACACACATGCGTGCCCGCGGAATACACCGCGAATGACCAGGGAGCCGTGCCAGGCATCCAGGCTGGGGGACAACAAGAAGGAGACAAAGGGAGACAAATGAACCCGTCCGCCCGGAGAGCCGTGCCAGACATCCAAGCTGGGAGACAAACGAATCCGTCCACCCAGAGAGCCGTGACAGGCATCCAGGCTGGGAGACAACCGGGGCCAAATAAAGGGAGACAAAGGGAGACAAATGAATCTGTCAGGCAAATGAAGGGAGAGGAACCCGTCCGCCGGGAGAGCCGGGACAACCCCAGGTGCCAAGAGCACCACTGGGTATCTCGGCGTAGGTTCGTTGAACATCATCAAAGAATCGATAGACGATTTAACTCCAGCGTGATTCACGTTTGTTTCACCGGGGGGTTAACAGAGCCTTCTCGTAGCTGAAGCCGTGCACCGCAGCGCACCGCTCTCGTCAGCTCGGGACTCCAAATGCGAGCAAGGACAGAGAGAGGCCGCAACTGATAACGAGGCACTGAACGAACAGACAGGGTGTAGCCAACGATAGACAAGGAAGACGACCCACCACGAGCCCAAGCAAAATCGAAGTCCAGATGAAGGGCAGACAGAGGACCCTGTCCCCAACATCCACAAGACAAGGAATGACCGAAGCCAGGGCCGAAGCCGAAGGCAAACCAGACCCCGCCAAAAGGACAGAACCGCGGGAAGTGAAGGAAACCGCGGAGCGTGAGTGCCACACATCCAGGCTGGGAGACAACGGGAGACAAATGAATCCGTCCACCCAGAGGGGCATCCAGGCTGGGAGACAACGGGAGACAAACAAAGGGAGACAAAGGGAGACAAATGAATCCGTCCACCCAGAGAGGCATCCAGGCTGGGAGACAACGGGAGACAAATAAAGGGAGACAAAGGGAGACAAATCAATCCGTCCACCCACAGAGATGGGAGACAAATGAAGGGGAACCAAGGGAGACAAGTGAATCCGTCCGCCTGGAGAGCCGTGACAGACATCCAGGCTGGGAGACAACGGGAGCCAAATGAAGGGAGACAAAGGGAGACAAGTGAAACTGTCCACCCAAAGAGCCGTGCCAGGCATCCAGGCTGGGAGACAACGGGAGACAAATGAAGGGAGACAAAGGGAGACAAGTGAATCTGTCCGCCTGGAGAGCCGTGCCAGACATCCAGGCTGGGAGACAACGGGAGACAAATGAAGGGAAACAAAGCCCAGAGAGCCGTGCCAGACAAATGAAGGGAGACAAAGGGAGACAAATGAACCCGTCCACCCAGAGAGCCGTGCCAGGCATCCAGGCTGGGAGGCAACGGGAGACAAATGAAGGGAGACAAAGGGTGACAAATGAACCCGTCCACCCAGAGAGCCGTGCCAGGCATCCAGGCTGGGAGACAACGGGAGACAAATGAAGGGAGACAAAGGGAGACAAATGAACCCCTCCACCCCAGAGAGGTGACAGGCGTCCAGACAAAGGGAGACAAATGAACCCGTCCGCCGGGAGAGCCGGGACAACCCCAGGTGCCAAGAGCACCACTGGGTATCTCAGCGTAAGGTTCGTTGAACATCCTCGAAGAATCGATAGAGGATTTAACTCCAGCGTGATTCACGTTTGTTTCACCGGGGGGTTAACAGAGCCTTCTCGTAGCTGAAGCCGCGCACCGCAGCGCACCGCTATCGTCAGCTCGGGACCGCAACTGATAACGAGGCACTGAACGAACAGACAGGGTGTAGCCAACGATAGACAAGGAAGACGACCCACCACGAGCCCAAGCGAAATCGAAGTCCAGATGAAGGGCAGACAGAGGAGGACCCTGTCCCCAACATCCACAAGACAAGGAATGACCGAAGCCAGGGCCAAAGCCGAAGGCAAACCAGACCCCGCCAAAAGGACAGAACCGCGGGAAGTGAAGGAAACCGCGGAGCGTGAGTGCCACACATCCAGGCTGGGAGACAACGGGAGACAAATGAATCCGTCCACCCAGAGAGCCGTGCCAGGCATCCAGGCTGGGAGACAACGGGAGACAAATAAAGGGAGACAAAGGGAAACAAATGAATCCGTCCACCCACAGAGATGGGAGACAAATGAAGGGGAACCAAGGGAGACAAGTGAATCCGTCCGCCTGGAGAGCCGTGACAGACATCCAGGCTGGGAGACAACAGGAGCCAAATGAAGGGAGACAAAGGGAGAAAAGTGAATCTGTCCACCAAAAAAACAGTGCCAGGCATCCAGGCTGGGAGACAACGGGAGACAAATGAAGGAAAGGGGTGCCAGACATTTTGGGAGACAAAGGTAGACAAATGAACCCGTCCACCCAGAGAGCCGCGCCAGGCATCCAGGCTGGGAGACAACGGGAGACAAATGAAGGGAGACAAAGGGAGACAAATGAACCCGTCCACCCAGAGAGCCGTGCCAGGCATCCAGGCTGGGAGACAACGGGAGAAATCAAGGGAGACAAAGGGAGACAAATGAACCCGTCCACCCAGAGAGCCGTGCCAGGCATCCAGGCTGGGAGAGAACGGGAGACAAATGAAGGGGACAAAGGGAGACACATGAACCCGTCCACCCAGAGAGCCGTGCCAGATCCAGGCTGGGAGACAACGGGCGACAAATGAAGGGAGACAAAGGGAGACAAGTGAATCTGTCCACCCAGGCATCCAGGCTGGGAGACAACGGGAGACAAATGAAGGGAGACAAAGGGAGACAAATGAACCCGAGCCGCGCCAGGCATCCAGGCTGGGAGACAAATGAAGGGAGACAAAGGGAGACAAATGAACCCGTCCACCCAGAGAGCCGTGCCAGGCATCCAGGCTGGGAGACAACGGGAGACAAATGACAAAGGGAGACAAATGAACCCGTCCACCCAGACTGGATCATCCAGGCTGGGAGACAACGGGAGACAAATGAAGGGAGACAAAGGGAGACAAGTGAACCCAGGGAGACAAACGAACGCGTCCACCCAGAGAGCCGTGCCAGGCATCCAGGCGGGGAGACAACGGGAGACAAATGAAGGGAGACACAGGGAGACAAATGAACCCGTCCACCCAGAGAGCTGTGCCAGGCATCCAGGCTAGGGCTTGGCAACAGGCGAGCCACCTTAAATGAATTTAGAACCCCTCACAGTAAACTGTTTGGGGAACAAAAGGACAAACCCCGCCATTTGCGGGGTCCCGTCCCAAATGGCTGTGGCTCAAAAATGGGTTCCCAACATGGAACCCCGGTAAATGGAAACAGAGACTAAAACCGCGTAACCCTAGCTCTTTAATTTTGAGCCACCCCTAGCTCTTTTAATGTTGAGATTCGGGAGAGAGAGAAAGAGAGAGAGAGAGAGAGAGAGAGAGAGAGAGAGAGAGGGTTTTTTTCACAGCGAGCGAGCGCGTCGAAGTTGGTTTCAGGCCCAAGGCGCTCTGTAAGCCTCCTCGATGCCAAAGGCGTCGTCTTCTGCCCACATGGGGTCACGCATGGCCTGCGCCAAAAAAAAAAAAACTGGCAGCAACAAAAATACGACAAAAAACGCTCGGGTGTCCCAAGGTTCCACCCGGAAAACTGGGGGGGGGGGGGAATGGGAAACCTCTGAAGTTCAAACCGCCAAACCCCAAAACCCTGAACAAGGGGCGCGTACAGAATCCAACCGGCCGAGCTTCGCCGCACCGGTTTCTTGGTTTCTGGCTTGCGGTTTTCGGAGCACCCTAGCCAGTCATATGCCTGAAGCCCCTCTCACGGCATGTTCCATTGGTTTCGAGGCTGACATCAAGACGTAGTCAGATTTGGGTGTGTCGTTTTGGAGTTGGTACCCCTTTCTGTTGGGCTTTCAAGAAAAGCTGAAAAGGAAACCCACCATTTCTTTTGGGGGAACCTAAAAACAGAGAGACACCCGCTCATGTGCACCACCCATTTTGGAGTGTGCTTGAACCGCGGAAACGCAGGAACGCGCCCCCGTCTGGGCAGGCGGGCATCGCTCATTGACTCGACTTCGTAGTCATCTTGATGGTTTTCATCATCTCCCTTCACAGACCTCGGGTTGCATCGCCAGTGCCACGGGTGCGTCTTAAAAAGGGGACCCAAAAAAACAAGAGTTTCGCTTTGAAGCAACCCAAAAAAGGGCTCCCTGCAAAACGACAGCCCAGGGAAAAAAGGGGCACCCCCCGTTTCGTGGCAATCCAATGTAATGTGGGTGTGTCTTTTCTTGACAGTACCCTTTTCAGCTTGGTTTAAAGGGAGATCAAAGGGAAACCAACCATTCTGGCGGTCTCCACAATATGGAGCCACAAACCTTTAAGTCTCCGCTTCGGGCAACATTCCTTCCTGCAATGACACAGTGCAAGAAGTAAGGCCGAAGAAAACCTGAGCCCCTGACTCGACACTGGATCTTGAATCCTCAGTGCAGCAGTTGAACCCATATCCACAGGTACATGAGTACCGAGACTCTCCTCACACTGTGGCATGAACATCCTTTTTGCCGCCATTCGAGTACGTGCTCTTTAAACAAGCAAACTAAGTGCCATGTTGCCACTGTTTGGATGCATCATGGCTGCAGCCTCAATGCTCCCAAACCAAATGGCCCGCTCTCACGAGCGCACGGACCGGCGGCTACCGGAGCTGCATGCCGAGGCGTGCTCCGCCGCCGCCGCTGCGCAGGACTGCTGACTAGCCTCACGCACGGAGGGCTCGCAGTCAGGCTCCCTTGCCCGTGCCTCACCTGCCTCCGGCGCTGCGGCAACGAGGATCCCAAGCACTTCCGCGAGATTTGTAGCAGAGGCAGCAGCAGCCGCCACATCCAATGCCGGGCTAAAGGCAGCATTTGCAGCAGCTGGCGCATTGGAAGCCAGGCTTGCAGCCATGCCGGGAAGGAGCGTCACCCGCACCACCGCACGGCAAGTATGCTGCGTATCCATCCATGGATCAATGTGGACATCCGGGGTGAACTCCTCGATGTCCAGGCTGACCAACTCCAAGAAGGGCGTCTTGATGCCCGCCTGCTGCAGGTCTCGCTTCGCCTGCTCCAACACCTCATCCCGAAGCATGGGCTTGGTCCAGCAACACTCATGCTGCCCAACGTCGTGGACAGTGAAGGTCACCGGCATGTCCGCAGTCTGAAGCCTCGCAGCTACTGCATTGGCCGCCTCCTCTCGCACCGATTCCAAACGTGGAACTTCCGCTAACTGCTCTCTGATCATGCGGGCATTCACCGCAGCTTCCTCGCAATGCTGCGTGGCCAGGACGCGCTCGAAATACTTGAGCGCCTGCTGGAGCTGACCTGGTCGAACTGAGCCCCGTCAAAACGCAAAACCTTTGCCTGATTGGAAGTCATTGTCCAACAAGCCAAAAAGACAAAAAGCCAAGCCAAAGAGCAGAAGAGCAGCCAAGTGACCCTTCTCCTGCAACCGCTCCGCCCGGTACATCAAAGAAGCCGTCGCACGATCCAAGCTCAAATCGTTCATGAGATATGCCATGTGTTCGGATCGGCTGCTCGCGCTGGAGAGGTTGGAGGCGCTAGCTTCCGACATGGCTGTATGGCTGTGGAACCTAGGTAGACGTACTTCCTTGACACAGTGGCTCTAGTCCACATGGTGCGAACCACGTGAAATATGCAACCAGATGCGCTACATGCAAGAGCTCAATGCAAGCTCAACCTTTAAGCGGGGTCTAACGTTAGCTTGCCATGAAGAAAGGGTAGGTTGGCAATGCAAAGAATCCTGCGCCAATCTGCTTTCAACACATCAGCAAAGCACCACCAGAGTGCCAAGACTGTGCAGCGGACGCATTAACAACACGAGTTTACAGTGTAAAACCATATGAAAAGCGCAAAGCGGTGCAACAAAAAGAGCGCGCAATGAATGAGTGAATGAATGTAGAGTTCTGATAGCGACTCACACCTGCGACATATCCGGGCTCAGGTGAAAGTATAACTCCCAGCTGAAATGCGGAAAGCCAACCACTAAACCAGCTAAACCGGTAAAATAGGCTAAAAACAACCCAATGGCCGGGAACCACCAAGATATACAGCGCCCAAACCCAAGCACTGAACCAACGAAGAAAAAACCGGGCAAAATCGGCTTTTTGGAACCCAATTCAAGGGCTTGGGCCCCTTTTTGCCAGCCCTGGGCATCCCGGACCATTGCGCCGACTTCCTGCAGCTCGTTGGCCGCAGGCCGAGTTGTGTATGGTCTAACCCCCCGGCTATGGCCACGGCATGGGGCAATCCTCCCTAAGTTCAAGTCTTCGGGTGTCAAATGGCCATGGGTCAAAATCCCGGTTATCCCCCAGTGAACATCCCCATCTCCACTAAAATAGGTTAGTTAAAATTGGATATCCCCCAGTGAATGGGACCCAATCCAACCACTAAAATAGGTTCTAGAATGGGTGGTGAATTCACCTACCCCAAAATGGGACCCCATTGGTTTTGACCCACAGCCAAATGGGTCCTTCTTGGAGTTTGGAACCCTTTTGTTTTGTTGGTGGGTGTTTTAAAGGAAACCCCAAAAGGAAAGCCGAAGCCAGTTTGGGGGATCCAATTCCTAAAGACGATTCACCCAAATGAACCACTAAAGCACCCCTTGACCGCTTGGCACATCAGCTCCGAACAGAGCCAATTGCCCCAGCAGGTCTGTCAAAAGATCCCCCCGCGCACCGAAGGTGTCAATCGCAAGCCAGGCCGGCCGCGGCTTCCGCTCGTTGAAACTCCGGCAAGCGGGCGGTGCCCAACAAAAAAAGAGGCCACGAACTCGCTCACAGGGCGCTAAGGCCACGACTAGAAGGCCGAATTCTTCCTCACGAGTGCCCTGGCACATGTCATCCAAGATTGACCCACTTTGGGGGGCTCCAAACTGAAAAAGACCAAGCTTGGGCGGTCCAACTTGAGAAGGGGCGTATCCCATTCGAGGCAAATGAGCTGCTCTGCAAACCGGCCGTGTGACTGAAAATACCTGTCAAGCAAAGGGCCCATCGGCTCGCTCGCACCAGTCGCTCGCCTCATCAAGACGCAGCTCCTGCGCGAAAAAGGCCAACAAAAAGTGGCTGATCAATCGGCGCCAGATAATGGGTTCAAGGGAAAGCAACGGGAAAAACAACCCCAAGACCCTCCAAGTCTGATCCGTTGCCCCGAAATCCTTCACAGTTCCCGAATTCTCAACACCAGCCAAAAGGGCGCGAAGAAAAAAAAAACTCGTACGAGGGCTCAAAAGGAAGCATGGGGGCTCTCAAGATGGTGAACTCCGTTGGGTGGAAGCAAAAGCACATGAGCCATTCATTGAGGTGTCCCTCCTTTGCAAAGCACCCATATCACTGCATGCCTTTTCCCGCGCGCCTCGTGTATGACCCAGCGCCAAAGGTGTATTCTGCCACCATTACCGGGTCCCAGCACACCCTCCACCTCACAAGACGGCCACTTGGAGTCAAAATGGGCGGCCAGCACTCCAATAGGAAACGGTATGGTCAAAACTGCAACCAGTCCCTTAAAACACGCGGGTCTGTTGACTATGTCACATGGCCAAATGCTGCCAAAGGCATGCGGAACCCATCTTTCCCCCTTTTTTGCCTTCCCTTGCCCACAACCCAAAACAAGCAGAAAGGCGCATACACACACAAACACACACATGTGTTATTGCCACCCAAAGTTGTGGTTGGTGACTTCCATGGACCCTCAAAAGGGCTTTAACCATGGGTTCCTGCCCAAACTAATGGTTGGTGACTTCCCGGTTCACACACCCACACCCACACAGATCTGTCCACAGATCTGTGCCAGAGTCGGCGCAAAGAAAGGCTAAGGCGCAGGCAGACAAGAAGCTACTGGCGGACGGCAGGCCCAACCTCCCGGTTTGTGCGCACGGGTGCAGCCCTCCAAGATGCGCGAACCGAATCCTCCCAAGGTCGGAGGGTACCCGGAAGCGAACCCCAGCTATTGGCCCAACCTCACTCAAATCGATTTGTCTCCAGATGGAAACCTCCAAAATGTGGTTTCCCCTTCATGGGTGCCATGAAAACAGAGGCAGGGGACCCCAAGCTAGTTGTCTCGAACCCCAAATTCACCATGGACATGTTGGCTGAAGGCAAAGCACTCATTTCACACCAGAAGGATTCCCTCATTCTACACCAGTTACCTCATTCCACACCAGAGTAAATTCAAGGATTCCCTCATCTCACACCAGAGTCGAAGATTCCATTGCCCCTGCCATGGGATCCAAGGCCGGCACACACTAGTTTAGAGCTTTTCGGCACAGGACGGTGAAATCAAGGATTTCCTCATCTCACACCAGAGATTAGGTTAAGGGTTTGTAGGGTTCTTTAGGGTTTAGGGAACTTAGGTTTGGGGAATTTAGGGTTTAGGGTTTTTAGGGTTTTAGGGGTTTAGGGTCTTTTAGGGTTTTTAGGGTTTAGGGCTGTTTAGGGTTTAGGGTTTTTAGGGTTTAGGGTTTTTGTTTAGGGTTTAGGGATTGTAGAGTATAGATTTTTTGGGTTTGGGGTTTTTAGGGTTTAGGGGTTTCAGAATTTATTTGCTTTATGGTTTAGGGATTGTCGAGTTTAGACTTTTAGGGTTTGGGGTTTTTAGGGTTTAGGGTTGGTTTTTGGGTTTAGGGTTCTTTCGGTTTAGGGTTTTTAGGGTTTAGGGAATTTAGGGTTTAGGGTTTTTAGGGCTTAGGGTTTGTAGGGTTTGGGTTTTTTTAGGGTTTAGGGTTTTCAGAATTGATTTGGTTTATGGTTTAGGGATTGTCGAGTCTAGATTTTTAGGGTTTGTTTTTTTTTAGGGTTTTGGGTTGTTTTTTGGGTTTAGGGTTCTTTCGGTTTAGGGTTCTTTCGGTTTAGGGTTCTTTCGGTTTAGGGTTTTTAGGGTTTAGGGATTTTAGGGTTTAGGGTTTTTAAGGCTTAGGGTTTTAGGGTTTAGGATTTGTTTGGTTTACGGTTTTTAGGGTTTAGGGAATTCAGGGTTTAGGGTTTTCAGGGATTATCAGGGATTAATATTTTTTAGGGCATAGGAATTGTAGAGTTTAGGGTTTTTAGGGTTTAGGGAGTTTAGGATTTTAGGGTTTAGGGTTTTCAAGGTTTAGGGGTTTTAGGGTAGGAAGCCTAAACTGTCTGGTGGTTTGAAAGTAGCAACTCGCATGGGCAGGGTTTAACCGGTGTGAAACGAGGCGATTCGACCAGTGTGAAACGAGGTGATTTGACCGGTGTGGAACGAGTGCTCGCCCTTGGCTGAACCTGTATGTATGTCATGTCAAATGGTTCTGCCCAAAAACATGAGAATCCAGGAAGAAAACATCCTCACCTATTTATATCCAGGGGACCCTTGCCTTCACTCGCCCAAATGATTGTGCCTCAAAACGACTCACACCACACAGGGGGGTGGCTCATGCATTCCAATGAAGAACCAACCGGGTTCCTGCGAACCAAAAAAAACACCTGGAGCGTGCGCCTTTGGGGATTCCCCAAAAAACGGCCGCCGGGGGTCAAACGGCTGTGGCCGTTTCTGCAGCCCGGCGGCTCTCCCAGAAGCAGTTTCAGCCGCTCGTCCGAGACCTGGGAGGCAGAGCCCCAGTTGAAAGCTTTTCTGACGAGGTCCATCATACCCTTCACTCACCTCTTGGGAAAGCCGTCGAAAGGAACATCTACCCGCATCCAAACGGTCCCGGAAGCTTCAGGGATCAGCAGGTCCCTGGAACGGAGTCCTCTGAATCAACCATGAATGCAGTGTAAGAAAAGAAACAAAGACAAACACATGCTGCGGACAAAAAACAAGGCTTCGGCAAGGGAGTTTGCATCAGTATGCGCAAACATGCGCTTGTATCCATGCATCCACCATCCATCCGTCCCCCACCCCACCCCACCCCACCCCACCCCATCCCATCCCATCCCATCCCATCCAGTGTTCTGAAAGGAAACGAAAGAGAAGCCAATTTGGGGTTTCCGAGTTCTATCTCGGGGTTCCCAAACTTGGTGGGGTCTGCAAGGTTCAAACAGAATGGCTCTGGTTGTCCTTCTGGTTTCCCCTTCAAACTCCAACCGAAAGGCTCGTTCCACCTAACACAACAGCCCATCCTTCGGTCCTTCGGAGTGTTTTTCCCTTCCGGCGTCCCCTTACCTCCAACCACAAGGGATGTGAATGGAAGTGCCAGGTCGATTTCCGGAGCCCTCATCTCAACAAACTTCGCCAGGCTGGGGTCCTTCCTGGAGTTTGGAACCCTTTTGTTTTTGTTGGTGGGTGTTTTAAAGGAAACCCCAAAAGGCAAGCCGAAGCCAGTTTGGGGGATCCAATTCTCCACCAACTTCGCCAGACGAGCCGTGGAGTCCTCCAACCCAAGACAGCCCGACGGGCCTCGATCGGAGGCCTGGGCGCCCCGGCGGCCTCGGGAGCCGGCGCCCAGCCACGGAGCGGCTCGCTGTCTAAGCCTAGGTGAGAGAAGAGGAAGACCAGAGGAAGCCAAGAAGGAGCCAAAGCGAAGCCAAGAAGCCCAAGATGACCACCAAACAGGCCCCAAGGCCGGCTTTTTTCAGGGACCCGACAGAAGGTGGTGCCTTTTTTTTGACTGGTGTCCATCTTCTTTTGGAAGAAACGCCCGCAACCAACTAGATGAAACCAGGAAAGCAACGTGGGAGGGCTCCTTTTGACCCGCTCGCGTCTTACACGAGCTTCAACACTCATCAATGCTCCTTGTTGCTGACCTTGGAATGAGAGCAAACCTACAGCAAAAAGCATGACGTCCCAAAAGGCCCTCAGCTTGAACAAAGGCAAGGCGCCGCAAAAACCGCACAGCCACTGCACAGGCAGTCAGGAGGATTCCCTTTTTGTGGGCATGTTAACCCCCCGCTTAAATCTAAGAGTCGTCCCTTTTTTGGAGAGCCCAACTTTCCGCTTTAGTGGGGATTCCTTTCTTCCAGTCGGACCCCTCTGATGAACAAGTGGGGGTTCACTAATCAGGGGTCGAAACAGAAAGTGACATACCAAGGAATGACCCGTGTGTTCAACATCCCCATCCGGTTGAGGGACAACTTTTGGTGTCAACAGTAGCTTTACAGGCAATCCAAATGGAGGCGAATCATCTGGGCATAGGATTAAATAGACCCGCCAAATGCCTCAGTTGCCCAAAGAAGGTTAACCTTGTGGGACCACTACTAAGATCAGACCAAAATGGAAAAGTTGTCGATCCGTTTTGAACAACTGAGATGCTGCTTGTTCCTTTGGTGTCAGTTCAAAACCACCCCCCCCCCCCAAAAAAAAAAAAGAAGAAAAAGAGAGGATACCCGCTTGCCCGTCCGCCTGGCAAGCCTGGTCCGGTCTCCTTCCGCAAAGAGGGCAGCTGGAACTCGATTCTGTGCACCACCTGAGCTGCCAAGAGGCAACGTCCAAGCGGGAATCGAACGAAGGAGATGCAGAGGGGGTGTCCCCCCAAAGTGATGGATGCCCTCCAAACATGCCTCACTCACAGAGACACAGACACAGACACAGACACAGACACAGACACAGACACAGACACGCACGCGCACACACACACACACCACTTAATCAAGCAGGGGTTGAATCCTGGGTTCCCAGGGCACTAATATAAGATGTACCGCCTGGGCTGGCTCTCAATTTCAGTTACCACCAAACAAGCATCTGGCGGCTTCAAAGAACCTGCCACGTGCAACGTCCAACTCACAGTGCACCCCCATACGAACCTGCGTCCCACCTGGATCCAACTCGGCTCCGCCCGCCGTTTTGGTTGGGCTGCCCCACATATCGAGTACGCAGTCCCGGATAGGAGCTCGAGACCACCTTCGCGCAAGCGAAACGCGCGCGCGTTGCACACGTTGCCAAGAGGGCGCAAAGTGGGTGTGAATGGTTTTATAGGAAAACCACCCGAGTGATCTTTGCTTCAGTGCTCTTTGGACCAAATCGTGGGAAAGGCGACGAGAAACACGCAAGGGCCGATCTGGTGGACATCATTTGCGCCATGGTCAAAACTCCGAAGCTGTGG